ACCCAATTGTTTCAGGCTTTGGAAGGTGGGGCAAACCCCCTATGTGGGTCTTTGAGAAGCACAAGTCTTCTGCAGCTGACAAGCCCTGCCACCCACAGGTCCACACACACAGTCAACACAGTCCTGCCCCGTGTGTGTGCCCCGACCTCCTGAAGTGGACCCAGTCTCTCCACGGCAGGAGCCCCACACACTCCACCACCGCCCCACACTCTCCACCCACTCCTGTGCACACCCTGCCTCTCTGAAGTATGCTCAGTTGCCAGGCTGCAGAGAATCCAGTCACCAATCTACGCGGGCCCACCAGTTGCCTGAGGGCTTGTTGTTGGGTGGGGCCAGTCTCTAGGGTGGGCTGCCTGCCCTGGCTGAGCTGGATCAAATTGGTGCTCTACTGGGTGGGGCAGACCTGGGCTAACAGTCCCCAGGGAGAATTCCAATGGCGTCTGTGTCAGTACACCCACACCAGGCCACAACAATGGCCGCCGCCAATGTCCTAGTCCCTGGAGAGGTCTCACCTCTCACTGCAGTGCACTCAGAGTCTATCAGGTGAGTCTCTTTTCACCAAAGCACCTTTCTTTGTGCACCTTTCTTTCTGGTGATTTTAGGTTGCTTTCTGAAACGGGTGAGTTTGCGCATGGGTCCTTTAAGAGCCGGTTTTAATTTCTTTGTGAACCAGCTTTTCTGGCGGTACTCCCCAATGTTTTAGTAGCAGGCAAAGTCATATATCATTCCACTCGTCTCGATTGTGGTGGGTCCACAAAATGCCCACAGCAGGGGCGCTCCCTGGCTCAGGGCCCCGCGCTTCCAGGGAGGCTGCGAACCTGTGGGCGGCTCCCAGGTGGCTGTGAAGCACTGCAGCTTGTGAAGGCGGCATTTTCCCTCTCCCGAAGGGAGCTTCTGCCTCTTCCACCTCAATTAGGATTGTCCGTTGTTGCAGGAGTTCCTCTCATCCAGTTTTCAGTTCTGTCTCGGGGGTAATTTTTCCACGAGTAGTTGTAAATTGGCTGTGTCCGCGGGAGGAAGTGAGTTCAGAGTCTGCTTACGCCGCCATCTTCTCATCTGTTTTTTAAAAGGTGCCACACTAGGATTTCAACTATACTCTAGGAATATATGCATATATATATTTTGTTAGTTTTGGAATGAGAAATAAGCAATGAGATATAAACACAAATCCTTTAGTGTTCATTTATTTTACTTTACTTTCTTATAGGAATATGGAGCAGAGATATCCGATACAAGAGTAACTTGCCATTAACAGAAATTAACAAAATTCTAAAGAACTTGGAAAGTAAAAAGCTTATCAAAGCTGTTAAGTCTGTGGCAGTGAGTAGTTTTCTCTTTTCTTCCCCCAGATGTTCTCTTTACATATATTGCTCCAAGTATATTTCAAGTTTTTATTGTTGTTTAAGCTATGTCGTGATTTAAAACAACTGGTCAGGGCCGGCTCCGTGGCTTGGCGGTTGAGTGCGCGCGTTCCGCTGCTGGCGGCCCGGGTGCGGATCCCGGGCGCGCACGGACGCACCGCTTCTCTGGCCGTGCTGGGCCCGCGTCCCACATACAGCAACTAGAAGGATGGGCAACTATGACATATAACTATCTACTGGGGCTTTGGGGGGAAAAAAATAAATAAATAAAAATCTTTAAAACAACTGGTCAAAAAAGATATTTAAAAATTTAGCTCAGATTGGTTTGGAGATGCTGCTGAGATGTGTCACTGCCTAGTTAACTCTTAGTGTCTTACCCACTCAAAAATCTAAAACTACTTGACTGTCTTCAGTAAAGAATTTTTGGAATCATGAACATTTTTCCTGGATTTTGTGGTGAGATAATTTACTTCATCCTGGCATACTAGATTACTCATTCAGCAAATACCTGTTTTTCCTTTGCTGTGTGCCAGGTGCTGTTCTGGGTGCTTAGGATACATTAGTGACCAAGTCAGAGAAAGATCTCTGCTCTGGTGGAGCGTCTGTTCCAGCAAATGGTGTTTTGCCTCTTCCTTACCCCACCCTACCCCTGTCACATCCTTCAGGGGCTCCACGCTCCAGAGCTGGCTCCCTCAGGGACACCTGCGCTGACCTCACTGGTTTAGGCACTAGAAAAGCTGAGACTCCCCTAGACTAACGTTTGCTTGAACACAGATTTCAGCATATGAGAACCTGATGTTCGTCAGTGATTTTATTTTTTTTATTTTTTATTTTTTTTAAATAATTTTATTTATTTATTTTTCCCCCCAAAGCCCCAGTAGATAGTTGTACGTCATAGCTGCACATCCTTCTAGTTGCTGTACATGGGACACAACCTCAGCGTGGCCGGAGAAGTGGTGCGTCGGTGCACGCCCGGGATCCGAACCCGGGCCGCCAGCAGCGGAGCGCGCGCACTTAACTGCTAAGCCACAGGGCCGGCCCTCGTCAGTGATTTTATTTATCAAATTATATTTATATCATACCACTCCATAATTTAGAATATTATTTCTTGTGCACATTTTTAATGGATAGTTTCAAATATATACAAAAGTAGAGAAAATAATATAATGTATCCCCACGTACCGGTACATCACCTAGCTTCATTTTGCCAATCTTCCTTTTACATCTTTATTTTTAATAACAGCTTTATTGAGATATACAGTCATGCGCCACATAATGATGTTTTAGTCAGCGAAAACTGCATATACGATGGTGGTCCCCCAAGAGCAATACCATATAGCCTAGGTGTGTAGTAGGCTATACCATCCAGGTTTGTGTAAGTACACTCTATGATGTTTGCATGACGACGAAATTGCCTGATGACACCTTTCTCAGAACATATCCCTGTCGTTAAGTGACACATGACTGTAATTCACATACCATAAAATTTATCCTTTTAGAGTTGTACAACCGTCATGCTATTCTAATTTTTGGACATTTTCATCACCCCAAAACGTGACCCCACTAGCAGTCACTCCCCAGCCTCCCTGCCCCCAGGCCCTGACAACCACTAATGTACTTTTTGTGTCTATAGATTTGCCTATTCTGTATATGTCATATAAATGGAGTCATACAATATGTGGTCTTTTGTGTTTGGCTTCTTTCACTTAGCATGATGTTTTCAAGGTTTTAAATAAAGTAGTATTAGATTGTAACCCAAAGTAAAAAATAAATATTCATGAGTCCATACTGATATAGATAAGTGTTTGGATAAATAAATAAATGGGGGAGAATAGACATCCTGTGCAGAAGAATTCCAAATAAGTTATATACACGCTCCACCCTCAAGGAAGTGGAGCATAACTCCTACACCTTAAGGTGGGCTGTGCATAGTGACTTCTTTCCACATATGGAAAGGGCAGGGGGAAAGTAACTTTACAGTGGAGAAAACTGAGAAATACCACCTCAAGCCAGGTGATCAAGGTTGACGTAAACGTCAATATGACGTTGATAAGTCATATTGATGACAATCAATCATCATTTGGTGATGATCAAGTACCCTTGATGTGATGTGATGAAAGCATTTTACCTCTGTGGTCTTTTTTTCCTGTCTAATCATGAGAAGAACATCAGACAAATCCCAATTAAGGGACATCCTACAAAATACCTGACCAGTAATTCTCCAAAATGGCAAGTTCATCAATAACAAGGAAAGTCTGAGAAACTGTCATGACCAAAAGTTTCCTCAGGAGACATGACAACTAAGTGTAATGTGGTATCCTGGATAGGATCCTGGACCAGACAAGGGACATTAGGGGAAAAAAAGACAAAATCTGAGTAAAGTATAGACTTTAGTTAATAATAACATATCAGTGTTGGTTCATTCATTGTAACAAATGTACGCTCATAATGTCAGATGTCACTAATAAGGGAAGCTGAGCATAAGGTAAATGGCAACTCGGTGTCATTTTCACAATAATTCTATAAATCTAAAACTGCTCTAAAATACGAAGTTTGGGGTTTTTTTTTAATTTTAGTTTTGGAAGACTGTTATCTTATAACCACATCTGCTGTGCATATTTTTTCCTAGGCCTCAAAAAAGAAGGTGTATATGCTCTATAACCTGCAGCCAGACCGGTCTGTGACTGGTGGAGCCTGGTACAGTGACCAGGATTTTGAATCTGAATTTGTAGAGGTGCTTAACCAACAGTGTTTTAAATTCCTACAGACCAAGGTGAGGCACAATTGAGGAAACATCAATACAAATCTTTTTTTTTAAGTTTCTTCATAAAGAATGTTTAATCTTGTATATCATATTTTATAGAAATTGAAAATATTGAAATTGCTAATTTTTACTAAACAAAATATGTTCTACTGTTGATTTCACTCTGCATAAATTGTATTCAGAAAACACCAATATTCTTGCCGAGATTTATCTTTCTACCCTTATAGGCAGAAACAGCACGAGAAAGCAAACAGAATCCGATGATACAAAGAAATAGTTCATTTGCTTCATCACATGAAGTGTGGAAATATATCTGTGAATTGGGGATCAGTAAGGTTGGAACCCAGTTTCTAATTTTCGTCTTATTTTTTAAAACTTATTCGTCATCATAGGGGTATAGTTTTCAATGTATTCCAAACCTGTTTGACCCAGACCCTTTCTTCAGGTGATACCTGTGAACATTCTGCAGAACCCACTTTGAGAAAGTACTGTCCTAAGCCAGTTAGGCAAAGACGGTCATTGCCATCGGGCGCTGTCTGAACTGTATGTACTTGAGCCTGGGATATAGAGCAGTAGAGTGGAGGCCTGGCAGTGCATTTCACTACCAAATTCAAAAGTCTCTTCTGACAAGTTCTTGACTTTATCAGGGACATTTCAGCCTATGTGCCAAACATCGGTCATCACATCAGTTGTCATTTATTGGTATTTTCCTACTTATAACATGTAAGTGGTGTAATCAGCATATTCTTTTGAAGACCTATACCTAAGGCCACTGTACTGGCTGCTTTTCACAGTTGGAGAAGAGACTAAAAGGGCCTCTTGGACAAGCCATTTTCATTTCCTGGGTTTCTCATTTATAAAAAACTAGGAATTTGGACTCTTTGATGTCTAACATACCTTTCTGCTCAAGTATTTTATAAATCTCCATCAATTTATTACCAAAGAAATGTTACTTTACAAGAATTCTAGGTTTTACTTAGGAGGGTGAAGACATCAGAAAGTGTCAAACTCAGCCTGAGGTTAGAGTTCTGTCCCCTATATTTCAGTGGTTGTGCTAACTTGGGCCGTTGTTCAACCTCCTCGTGCTTTTGATTACTCTCCAGCAGAATGCTTCCCCATTTCACCAAGGAATTGTGAACCTTTACTGTTTAAAACCCCCTCCAAAAAGGATGTCTCCCTGTCCTTTTGGTGTCCTTTCTCATGTATCCCCCTTTTTAGGTAGAGTTGTCCATGGAGGACATTGAAACCATCTTGAATACGCTCATTTATGATGGGAAAGTGGAGATGACTATCATTGCTGCAAAAGAAGGCACAGTTGGCAGTGTAGACGGACACATGAAACTGTATAGGGCAGTCAATCCAATCATCCCACCCACAGGTTTGGTCCGGGCCCCCTGTGGACTCTGCCCGGTGAGTTAAAGTGGCTTCACTTTACACTTGACTGCCACCAAATACAAATGCCACATAATGTACCAGCAGGGACTCTCCAGTTTTCTCAGACTCTCAGGGTGGACCAAGAGCTGCTCAAACCTCCATATAATCTTAATAATGGACCTTTAGAGAATAAACCTTTGCCTTACATTCTTTCTTAGAATAACCAGGTTAAGGGAATTTGTGTGCTCTGCTCTTGGCCCTGAAATGGACAATTTTTGATGAGAGAGAATCATTTAACCTAGAGATTTATTGAGAACCTACCATGGGCCAGACATGTTCCTGATGATTTTCATGTTGTCTCATTTAATCCTTTTTTTTTTTTTTTTTTTGTGAGGAGATTGGCCCTGAGCTAACATCTGTTGCTAATCCTCCTTTTTTTTTTTTGCTCGAGGAAGATTGTCCCTGAGCTAACATCTGTGCCAATCTTCCTCTATTTTGTATGTGGGATGCCACCATAGCATGGCTTGATGAGCGGTGTGTAGGTCCGTGTCTGGGATCCAAACCCACGAACCCCAGGCCACTGAAGCGGAGTGTGCAAACTTAACCACTATGCCACCGGGCCAGCCCCTCATTTAATCCTTCTTATGTCCCTTGGAGCTAGTGGTGTTTCCCTTCAGCATGAGGGAACTTGGGCTAAGGAAGGACCTAAGAGCATACAGCTTAGAAGTAACAACCAGGATTCAAACCCAGGGATTATGTTCTTTTCCCTGCTGTATGCCCCAGCACTCATTTGTTCATTCCCAGATAGTTTATGAGTGCCAACTGTGTACTGTAAGCACTGTCCCAGCTCTCACGGCATTTATATTCTTGGGCTGCTAATCTATGTTTTATTTCATTATACTGGCCCTTGTCTACATGACTAAGCCCTCTAGGCTCTGGTTTCAACTCCTAGAAAAAAGGCTAGCATATTGGGAATTCTATTTAGCACCCTTCACAAAAAGGAAGGTAGCTAAACATGAAATATTTGGTTAGTCAAAATGAAGTCATTCATATGTATAGATCTCCCTTTCTGTATTCCTCTGTTGCCTGCTGAGAACCTTTTGCCCAGTGGGCAGGTGAACATGGTCATCTTAATGCTACAGTTAAAGGTCTCATTAACTATCTTGAGGATCACAGATCAAGTCTTATTATAGTAGGATCTTAAATACAGTCCTAATCTCTTTCAATTTGAAAATTTTGTTTTCAATATTGCTTTAAATAAACAGTTGGGTCTTGGATACTTTGTTAACAGAAATTTTAGTTGTAGTTGACATTTAAGACCTTAACTATAATATAATAATTTTAAAACTTCAGTTTGAATATAAACTTTTTTCTTTTTTAAAGGTTTTTGATGACTGCCATGAAGGTGGTGAGATTTCACCATCTAATTGTATTTACATGACAGAGTGGCTCGAATTTTAATAGAGAGCTATGAACTTTACTGACATTTTGCAAATGAAGTTACTTCAGGAGCAAATAATTTAATTCATGATGGAACATCAAATTCCCAGGAAAGCCAACTTCACAATAATGGATACAGACTTGCTGCTCTGAAAATATATTTTATTATCTATGAAGACTAAATTTATATTGGTAGAGTAGCCAACAGACTATGAAGCAGGTAAGGTTAGTAGTGAAATCCACTCTTAAATAAATAAAATACTTTGAAGTTCTGGAGGACCACCTTCTGAAGCTTTCACGACTTTTGATGTTTCAAGGAAAAAGAAACCAACAAATCCATGTTTACCAAGTACTATGACAATGGCTAGAGCTTAAAAATGCCCATTATGAGATATTTATTAAGGTCTTCATTGGAAATTTTTTATATCTGGTTCACTATCACCATTTCTGTTTTCTATTTTCTCAATGGTTTCATTGAGAAGAAATTAAAAGTGGCAAAGGCAGGAATTGCAGGAGAGTATACACAAACTTGGGGCATGACTGGGGAGGAAGTGGAACATCCCTTTTCCACACACTATTAATTCCTTTTTATGTCAGAAATATTCTTTCAGAAGATTATGTCACTGTACTTACCTCAAACGCAAATGATGACTATTGTCAAGGATATGTTTTCAGTGCATAAATATTATCATTCTCATCCTAAAGTGAGTATTTTTCACTGGTCCTTCTTTGTTAAAGTCTTACAAGTTTCACTCTGTGGCTCAGTTGTATTATTTGCTGGAATTCTCCCCTAGATTCTTATTATTTAATAAAAATGAAAACTAAAAATAGTCCATTTCCCTCCATTCACAGGTGTTGAGGGGCGTGGGGGGAATGCCATTTTTCTTGTCCTGTTTTAGATTTGTTTCCTTATTCTGTTCTAAAAATCATAGTGTAATAGGTCTAAACTAAGCAGAAAACCATTTTAATTGTCCTCAGTTCTAATAGCACTTTCAGTCTGAATCTTTAGCCATATAGAAAACACCAGGTTATTTGATGTAGTTGCACAGAAGTTAGATGAGGGCTTTTTAGGATCTCAGCTGTTGTATTTTCACTATGTAGCACTTAAAAGTTGATGTGTCCAGGCCAAAAGCATGGGACCAAGGGAAAGAAATTCAAGGTCAGCTACTACCGAGGCCTGATTTCAAACACCAGTTTGGAGATACTCTAAGTGGACAACCGACAGAAGGGTTATTGAGATAAATGGGATCAGTAAAACAGAATTCAGCCAGGTAACCAATTAAGAACCAGATAAATTCTGAGGCCAGCTCTATAGAATTAGCATTTGATGACACCAGCACTTTGAAACAGATCATTTCAAGTATTGGATATATATATAAGAGGCAGAAGAATCTGGGAGCCCGAAACTACACAGGGTTTCTCTTCCACCCGCAGTGAGAGCTGGAATGGTAAGAACATTATCTGTCCTTCCTGGGACCTGGCCTGTCACAGAGGTGCTCTTATTATTTAATGAGAAAACTGAACTTGGAGGAGAGTTAGAAGTCAGGAGAAGGAACCAGTTTATGTTTTAAATACAGACTTTCCATTATGTCTTGATAGCCAGAGATTGAACAAGCTTATAATCAATGGCTCAAACATAAAAGTTTTCCTTGCCTCACCAGAATAAAGAAACCCTGTAAGCTTTTTTCCCATAGCATAGTTTTCATTATGAATATTAAGTGAGGGAGAAAAGAGACAGTAATTTAAAAAGAGAGCCCCTCTGATGGTAGTTAAATGGATGTTCACCCTATAGAAGTAAACTTTGACCAAAACAAATGGTGGGGCTCTAGATGCATGACACCACCAAAACTCAAATTGTGAGTGAAGTCCTAGTGCTTACCGTTGATTTCCATTTAGTATAAGATATTTTGCTCATCTGAGAAAAGATATTCCCTGGAGTCTGTCAAGGACCCTCTATGCTTAATAATGACCCATAGAGAATCAAACAGAATCATGAGCGTCCTTGATTTGACGGTTTAAATGAATAGTTTATGTGGGATTCTTCTATGAAACTCCTCTGATCTTAGTTTGGTAATGAGTAAATTTGATGGAGCCATGATTTCTATGGTGCTCAACTAAGCACGCTAGTCAGTAATTTCAAGTTGAGTCACTTTTACTTTGGACTATTATTCATTGGTAGATGGTAGGTGAGGGAAGAATATAAAATACAGGCCCTAAACCAGTGCTGTCCAATAGAACTTTCTATCATGATGGAAATATTCTATATCTGCTGTCCAGTAAGGTAGCCACTAGTCACCCTTGGCTGCTGAGCACTTGAAATGTGGCTAGTGTGTGGGGCCAGCCCTGTGGCGTAGCGGTTAAGTGCGCGTGCTTCACTGCTGGAAGCCCGGGTTCAGATCCTGAGTGCGCACCGACGCACCACTTGTCAGGCCATGCTGTGGTGGCGTCCCACATAAAGTGGAGGAAGATGGGCACAGATGTTAGCTCAGGGCCAGTCTTCCTCAGCCAAAAAAAAGGAGGATTGGCATGGATGTTAGCTCAGGGCTGATCTTCCTCACAAAAAAAAAGAAAAATGAAATGGCTAGTGTGAATGAAGAACTGAATTTTAATTTTATAGCTACTTATGGTTATGGGCTACCATATTGGGCAGCACAACTCGACAGTCATATAAGTCTATATTAATTATTTTTATAGGAATAAAGAATATTAGAATTAATTATTTCCCAATTGTATGTATTTGACTTTTTTCTATGGAGGATGAGAACAACAAAGTATTATAAACTGTTATTTGTATAAGTTTGATTTTTTAAGAAAGGACTTCAGAAAACAAGGCAGAGAGTAAGGAGAGCAATTACTAATTCCAAGTAATTCAAATAGAATCAAACTTTGATTATAGGCTTGGTCAAATCAATGCTAAACAGCCCCATTAAGAAAATTATTATTCAAATGATTTATCTAATTTGCTTTTCACTTGTCAAATAAGTTGTTTTCTTTCTTTCTTTCTTTCTTTATTTTTGGTGAGGAAGATTGGCCCTGAGCTAACATCGCTTGCCAATCTTCCTCTTTTTTTGCTTGAGGAAGATTAGCCCTGAGCTAACATCTGTGCCAGTCTTCCTCTATTTTGTATGTGGGTCACTGCCACAGCATGGCAACTGATGAGTCGTGTAGGTCTGCACCTGGGAACCAAACCCTTGAACCTGGGCCACGCAAGCGGAGCACGCCGGACTTAACCACTACACCACGGGGCTGCCCCCAAATAAGTTCTTTTAAATCTTATTTTTAATTATAAAAGTAATACATGTTCATGTACATGTAATACACGTAACAAATTCAAATAACCCCCAGGTGTATGGAGTGAAGAGAGGATGTCCACCACACCTATCTACCAAAGTTCCCATTCCCCAAAGATAACTGCTGTTGAAAGTTTAGAGAATCTTTTCTGACTTGTTTCTTTGAACATGTTTAGAAACCAAAAGACTTTTCAGGTTAAAATGATGTCTTTGAATCCCTTTTAGGCACAAACAGTATAGGAATTCACATTACTGCAGCAAACATCAGGTTCTGCAACATCAGGTGTGAGTTCACTGGAAATTGTTTGAGGCAATACTTAGGGGTCATGATAGCCAAAAAATGTTGGGAAATGAGAAAGGGGTTTTCTTGAGGGAGCATGATCAGAAGAAAAATCATGGAATGATGTTGAAAGAGATCTATAAAGGAAGTTAAAAGGTAGAACTTTTTACAGGACAAAATTTGAAGTATGGAAAGATTATTTTTAAAAATATTTAAGACTTTGTAACAAAATCCAAATTGTTCCCATGATTTCATCCTTGGACATTGTGTTCATTTCTTAGGCTTTTCTCAGGCTTTATAGAGAATCTTTTTTTTTTTTTTTTTAATTTTTTAACATTTTTTTTTTTTAACTTTATTTACTTATTTTTCCCCCCAAAGCCCCAGTAGATAGTTGTATGTCATAGTTCCACATCCTTCTAGTTGCTGTATATGGGACTCGGCCTCAGCATGGCCAGAGAAGTGGCGCGTCGGTGCGCGCCTGGGATCCAAACCCGGGCCGCCAGCGGCAGAGCACGCGCACTTAACCGCTAAGCCGCGGGGCCAGCCCTATAGAGAATCATTTAAACCACTTGGCTAAGTTAATACTTATGGCAGAGGTCACAGATGGGTGACTTGGACTTTGTGTGTCTTGCAGTATTTGTAAATTTCTGATTTACACTGTAGTTACCAACTAACATGATCCATATGTATAGGGATTGGACTTAATTCATGTACATATGAATTGTATATACATACATATATATTCCCTGGATATAAAAACCACTGTATGAAGTTTTTTCCTTGAAATCAGACAATTAGCAACACCTTGCCACCTTCCCACATAGCAACAATTTAGATAGGGTGTGAGTTCTCTACATTGCCCTAATCCTCACCACTCTTGACTGATACAAATCTAGTCGGCTGTGCTCACATTATGTATATAGGCTAAGCTTATATTCCCTGCCTGAGCCTTGCAGACCCCTGCCTCATAGCATCCTTATGTATCATTCTCTCTCAACATGTTTGAAGGACTAGGGGGCAGGGTGTCAAAGGTGAAGGCCCTAGTCTGGGTTTAATATCTTGGGCCAGCCTGAAATAGCAGCTAGTGTTTTGAGCTCTAAGCCAACACTCTGGACCTTTAGTCATGTTTTCTTTCCCCAATAAAATAGAAAAGTTTTATATCAGATAGGAGTACAACTCCTACAACATACATGAAACCTATTTAGTTTTAATCTGGACAGGGAATCAGGAAACCTGGGTTCCATTTCTGACTCATTTTGGATAGATAAGGGTGGTTAAGCTATCCTTATGTCCCTTATCAAATGGCGGAAATCTGCTTTAACTGCTGTAGTTTATAGCAATGTGGGGAAATGTAGATTCTATAGAAAATGGAAATGCTCTTTGGAACTTAGTTTTTCAAAACTTGTGTTTGTTTTTTAGGCAGTTTTGGAACTTAACTTGATCTGCTTTATGTGCCCAGTAATTATATGATAATAGATATTATTGCTCTACCCCTATATTGGGATGTACAATAGCAGAAATCATCCTGTCTATGCTGGTACTTTCAGCATAGACTTGACCACACTAATCAGTTCGTGAAACTCTGTGTTCTGAAAGTGGCCACGGTCAGTGAATCTGTACATTTTGGCTTCCAACCTATCGGCCACTTCTTGTTGTTCCTTCCAGGGAAGGAAAGGATCGTCAGTGGAGCCAAACTGCACGATGCGAGGGCAGTTGGCTTTGATCTTCTCCCACTGCCAGGGGCGGTTGAAGTATCCTATGGGAAAAAAATATATAACCTATCATTGCTCTTGGATAATTTCTATTCTAGCCACTCTAAAATACCAAGTGAAGATCATAGCAGAGACACAAAGAATCAGAGCCTGAGTGTAAGTTAGACACCCTCCTTTAATTTTCAAATCTGTAGGGCTTGAAACCATAGGTACTTATGAAGAGGAAGTATGTCGTTCAAATAAAAGCAGGCCTCTAGGGTTCAATTCTAGACGATGGATTAGAAATGGTCTACCCTCTCAATGTGCCTAACTTTTCCAAAGATGGGTGGTAAATATTTTTCATATGCTGTTAGATTTTTTTAGCCTATCTGAAAGACAGTACTGTTTTATAATCTGAACAAGCAACCCCTTGACTAGAGGAAGGGCTTTTCTGGGGTTTCTGCCTTCATACTTACCACTTGCACGCTCATTTTCATCCCCCAAGTCTGATGTGTATGCAGACACTAATACAATAGCATATAGTCGATGTGTTTCTGCGTACCTAGAGAGAGAGAGCATGTCAGCTAATATTTAATGTCAAATATGATCATCAAAAAGTCAATAAGCCACCTAGAAACTCGTTTGATTTAGCTTACAGAAAGCATGTGCTATATATGCTGTTAAAGTTAATATGAAAAATAGCAAGGAAAGTGCCCAGTGGTTAATCACTTAACCTTGGCTACTTGATGAGTTTCTACTTATTTTTTAAGGTACAGTAGTCCCCCCTTATCCGCGGTTTCACTTTCCACGGTTTCAGTTACCACAGTCAACCATGGTCCGAAAATATTAAATGGAAAATTCCAGAAATAAACAATTCATAAGTTTTCAATTGTGCGCTGTTCTGAGTAGCGTGATGAAATCTCGCGCCATCCCCCTTTCCCACTTGGGACGTGAATCATCCCTTTGTCCAACGTATCCACACTGTATATGTTACCTGTCCATTCGTCACTTAGAAGCCGTCTCGGTTATCGTATCGACTGTTGCAGTATTACAGTGGTTGTGTTCAAGTCACCCTTATTTTACTTAACAATGGTCCCAAAGTACAAGAGTAGTGCTGCTGGCAACTCGGATATGCCAAAGAGAAGCCATAAAGTGCTTCCTTTAAGTGAAAAGGTGAAAGTTCTCAGTATAGGGAAAAAAAAGTCATATGCTGAGGTTGCTAAGATCTGTGGTAAGAAGGAATCTTCTATATGTGAAATTATGAAGAAGGAAAAAGAAATCTGTGCTAGTTTTGCTGTTGCACCTCAACTACATATGTATAGAACAGAATAGTATACATAGGGTTCGGTACTATCCACGGTTTCAGGCATCCGTTTTAGAACATATCCCCTGAGGGTAAGGGGGGGACTACTGTAGTCCAAACCTTCTGTAATCCTTTCCGAATAAACATGAAAAGTGTAAACATTCTCTTTGATGTGTGCATTAATCTACCTTTAGTATACATCAGCATAACCTGACTGGTTAACATGTAGATTCCCAGGCTCAGTCCCAGAGCATCTGATTCAGAGGGTTGGGATTGAAGCCCAGGAATCCACATGTTGAGGCATGACACCTCCCTCAACCCAGGTGACTAACACAAGTGGTCTGTGGACCATTTTTTAAGAAACACGGTACCGTACCAGAAATGTACCTCTTTTACCACACACTCCACATTGCATTGTATTACTCATTTGTGTTGTGTTATATCTGTCTCCCTCAATAAACTGTCAGCTCCTTAAGGGTGGGTCTGAGCCTTCTCGATCTTTGTGATGCTGGTGCCACTACAGTGCCCGGCAAGCAGACACCCTGCTAACTCTTTGCAGACAGTTTCCCACTCCACAAAGACAAGGCTAAGGAAAGATGTGGAATGGTAATAGTTTCAAGAGGCCTTTGTACCAGGAAAGATTTAGGGTTGGTATTTTGTTCTTGGGCCTAAACATTTTTCCCCAACCTTTTGTTTTAAAAAATTTCAAACCTACAGAAAAGTTAGAACAACAGCACCTATATAACCCAGTGTGGTTATATAACCACAGTGCCATTATTACACCTAATAAATTTAACATTGAAAGTAATATCTGTATTAATTTTTCCCCAGTTGTACCAAAAATGTTCTTTAAAACTGCTTTTCAATCTTAGATCCAGTCAAAGATCATGCATTGCACTTGGTTTTCATAACTCTTTAGACACTTCAATTTTTTGTTTTAAATGACACATTTTTTTAAAGTTTAGGCCAGTTGTCTTGTACATTATCCCCTAAACTGAATTTGTCTGTTTCCTCATGATTACACTGAGGTTAAACATTTTTGGCAAGAATACTACATAGGCGACATTGTGTCCTCCCCACTACATCACATCAGATGCTCACCATGCCAGCTGTCCCCTTATTGATGAGATTAACTTTGATTACTTAAGGTGATATCCATCAGATGCCTCTATTGTAAAGACATGATTTCCCCTTTGTGATTAATAAGTAGTCTGTGGGTGGTCCTCTGTGACTGTGTCAATATCCTGTTCCCCTACAATCTTACACCCCACGGTTTTGGCATCTGTTTTTCTCCTTGTGTACCTTAGCTTTAGAAGTTAATTCTTAGAAGGTTGCTGACAATCCTGCATTAAGTTTCAAGGGTCTTTAAAAGAAGGCACGTCTTTATCAGCCAATAGCCTGAGAAAACCTCAGTTGGCCTTGAGTTGGTAGAGATTTCAGCATAAAGGGATTTCTTCATTTTTCCAGACAACCCATGGCAGCTTTTAAACACTGACTGTACCATAATTCTGTAGCTCTACATTGGAAAGCATTATTCTTGTAGCTTTGATTAGTGTGGCTGAAAGGTTATGGAATTCGGCAAGATTCTCTGATATGCAATTCATGTGACATCCTGAGCAACTGCTTGGGACAAGAAGCACAAATAAAACCTTATAATCCTTTGTCATCCAGCCTAGCAAATATGGAAGAAACCCAACCCTAAAAGGTTTATTCAGCCAGCTAAGTCCCTACCCCCTAGGTCTTAAAAGCCAAAGGGAGAGCCATAATGTTCTATGGAGTGCATCAGGGGTGTGCCCATGAATCCTAAGGACTTGGGGTTGGGACGGGGGCCTCCCTCTCCAATAAGTATTTACTGAGCACCCACCATATGCCAGACACTCTTCTAGGCGCTGGGGTTTCAGTATCAGAGTGAACAAAGTTCCACCCTCAGGAAGCTTACATGCTATTGGCAGGAGACAGACAAGAAATAAACAGGATGTCAGATGGTGGAAAGTGCTATAGATAATAAAGGGGATAATAAGATATAAAGGGGATAGGCGCCAGTGGGGTGAGGTTGCTGTTTCATACAGAGTGATCAGAAAAGGCCTCACTGAAAGGGGGCAATCGAGCAGAGACTGAAAGAGGAGAAAGCCATGTAGGTATCTAGGGACAGAGAGTCCCAGGTAGAACAATGGCAAGCAAAGGCCTATGGTAGGTGCATGCTTGGCATGCTAAGGAACTGCAGTGAGGTCTGGGGGCTGTGAAGGGGAGACGGTAGTGATGACATTGCAGCTAGTGGGGGCCTTGAAGGCCGAGGAGTTTTTCTGAGGGTGGTGGGCGGGAAGCCACTGGGGTTTGGAGCCACATGTTTTAACAAGAATCACCATATCCCAGTAAGAGCAAAAAATTTTTTAATCCACTAACCAAACTAGGAAGGAATTAGGACAGATTATGTTACCAGTTTTGAGGTCAGCACTGTTTACAGCCGAAATTAAGATATACACAAGCTATTTCCCAAGCAAGCTTGACAAGCCCACACAGGGGTGACAAGGCAACTAGGATCACACCTCATGGCCGCGATGGCCCCAGAACTGTGGCCTATGATGATGGTCTTCTCATCACACTGCAGCTCTGTCTCCATGAAGGGCAGCCAGATACTCTCTCGAGCTGTAACTAAAGTTCAGGGTAAAGAAAGAGTGTCATTTGATAGGGACAGTTTTAGTCTTAATGCTGCCCCATCTTTCTAACACAACTACTTAGCAGTTCACAACTTGTAATACTGTAGGACCACGATGCGAGATGGGGCTACTTTAATAGAGCCAGAGGTTTCTGTGTTGCTGTTTGAAAGACTCAAATCCGTAGTTTTGGTAAATGGTTTTGGTTTTTTTACCATGTTCTTGTAAGAAAATACTGAGGAAATAATAAAATATAACTCTGAAGATTTAGCATAAACTTTCCAACTTGACAAAAAAAACTCTTGACGATATTCTATTTCAAATCACATACAGATATATTCTTTCTTTCCAAAACAGAAATTCCTGAGACAAATCATAGGCATACTCAGAACAAAGTGGCAATGTTACATTTTTAAATATTAGGATCTCATATAGATGCCATAAAGTTTTGTCATATCTCTGCCTAAATGAAACGCCCATAAATTTTGCCTGAAAATATTTATTGACTTACAAAAGGGAAAATAAAGTTGCTTGCAAAGTTGAAAATTAAATTTTGCCAAGCCCAGGTGCTTTTCTTGACCCTTACTAGAATTTTCTATAATGTTTTTTGGTTTACACCCTCCTCCTCAAACTACTTGCCATCATTCAATCTTAGGTACCTATTGTATTCCCTTTGGCTTCTCTACTATGATTTTCCTGTTCTCTACCAGGAAAATGGCAAGATCAAAAACCCAACAAGATGAGAATATTTAAAAACATTTCAACTTACTTGGGTCAGGCATGTTTTTAGCCAGACACTGGAAACCTGGTATCTATGATATGAGCAGGGGAAAAAAGTTATAATAAAGAGCTTAATTACAACGAATACTTTGCTAATAAGAAAGGAGACACTTGATATCATCTTTATCAATTCAATAAGTATTTGCTTATATTATGAAACAAAGTGGGTTAAGTGCTACAGGACTACATATGAATATACAATCCTTCCTCATAAACTCCACCTGTCTGTAGTTCTATATCTAGCCCGCTCTGTAGATCTCTATAGAGAGAGACCTGTATCTGCATTTGTACATCTATATTTATCAGTATAGGCATATATCTATAGAAAAGGGCACGAGTGAAAGCATTCTAGACAGACTGACCTGGGGCCAGACAGACTGTGTGCCAGGGAGAGGGTAAAACATGGTACTGAGACGTGGTATAGAAAGTTGGAAATCACATCTTGGACAGCTCCAGCCCAGACCTTTTGGTTTGTAGCTCTGGCTATGGTTTTCAGCCACAACCCTGGTATTTTATTCTAGAAACCTACTCTAGATTAGCTCTAGAGGACGGCAACCCAGGAAGCAGTCTTATTGCCTGGTTATGGAAGAAGGCTAAAAAAAAATCAAAATGCACAAGACAACCTACAGTAGGATAGCATTTTTATAACGCTCACAAAGAAGCCAAATTAAACAATATATTGTCTAAAGGATACGTGCATAGGTTGCAAAAGTACTTTGATTTTAAAAAGGGGAGCAAATGAGAAAAATTTCAGGATGGCAGGGAAATGAGATGGAGGGATATACAGGCGGCTTCAAAAATATTGGTAATGTTCTAGATTTTAGATTGGTGATGGATTCGCAGGTATTCATTACATTAAGCTTCTTAATTTACATACATGCTATATATATCCTTTGTATATATTAATATTATATACTGATTTTTTTTTTTAATTTGAAGCAGAGAGCAAAGAAGATAGATGTAAAATTATCTGGCAAGTCCCAAATCTGAAGCAGCAGCAGATACAGGGAGGATGAGGGGGCTCGGTCTCTGTAGTTCTAAGAGGTGGTGCCTTATATTCTAACAACTGAACCCTCAGAGAAGTCCTCTAGGCAGTTTTACCAACCAAAATTCCAACCACTAGTTTAAGACAGGGCAGCAGGGGAGAGGAATGAAGACACAGGATTTGCTGAAGGAGGGCAGGGGGGAGACGCACGTTTAAACTTCAGTCCTCCGTCCCCTCCATCCCCTCCAGCTCCAGGCTGACTTCCCAGCACAGCAAGGCGTGTCTCTTACCTGCTCCAGCTCCTTCTTCACCCAACCATACCAGCCGTGGGTGGCCACATCCCCGCCTCCGTTCCCGGGAACAAGAACTGCCTTGCTAGGAGAAGCCATAAGTGCAGAAAGTCCCCCAGGAACCGATTCTGCGGTGCTCCAAGTCCTACAGCGCAATCGCAGGGGAGCCTGCACTGTGGCATTCTGGGAATTGTAGTTCTAGGGCGTCAATAGGGCAGTGCATTTAGCTCTTGGCGTTCCTTACAGCCCAGGGCAGCCAAAAACAAAACTTGTGAGTTTCCGTCAAATGTAAATCAGCTTTTCCTTGCCTCTTACTAGTGCTCCCAACGCCCGCTACCACCCCCACCTTATTTACGACAGGCTGTGACATGCCCAGAATGTGTTATCTCTTTCCCAGAATTACTGATGTTTCTATAGGAAAGTGTGTTTTTAATTCCAAACATGCAGAACACAACCTATTTATTAGTTGAGGACTCCCGAAATCCATATTATTTTTCTTTCTGATTTCAAAACAGTTCTTAGTTGAATAGTCAATATCAGCCCTGATTGTTAATTTTCATTGCTTTAAATGCTGTCGTTATAAAAGGTATCACTGTTGGTGCAGGGCACATGAATAACATTCATACTTAAACCAGTTTAGAGACTGGAGAAACTGAGGTACCAATGAAATGGTTCACCTATTGTGATATGGCAGTCCTGAAATTTTAGAAAATGGTCATACCTTATAGATATATCCAAACCTTATTGAATTGAGGTAGGCAGAAGTGTGCATGTGTGATTAGAAATAGAAATGAATAGGAAAGTGCTTCTTATTCTTTGCCCCTCCCATGGACTTACTCCCTGTGGACATCAGGCATGTTTTAGCATCTGACGTTGAGAAACACACTTAGGAGGTTTATTTTTTGGACAGGCACAAGTAGGTGATCAATGATTACACTGCCCACCACCACATTTCTTTAGGAAGAGCAAGACATACTCTTTCCTCTTGAAACTTTGACTCTGTAAATTTTCTTAAAAAGGTCAATGTTATTGAATTTTAAATGTAGACTTATTCACTTCAGAAGGAATGAACTACTGATACACACAACACCATGGATGAATCTCAAAATAATTATGCTGAGTGAAAGGATGCCAGACAAAAAAAGAGTATATACTATATGATTCCATTTGTATAAAACTCCAGAAAACACAAGGGGCACACGGGAATACTGTGGGGTGATATACACGTTCGTTATTTTGTGGTGATGGGTGTCAAAACTTAACAATTCTACACTTTAAATATGTGCAACTTACTCTATGTCAGTTATACCTCAATAAAACTGTTTAAAATTAAAAAATAAATTAAAACAAGCAGAGGCATACCTATAGCTGAGTGGTTGTTTGTCTAATGGTTTTTAGTTCAAGAAACAATGACACTCCCTTAACAGGAACTGTGGGCTGAAAAAGGATCTTTCTTTCCTTAAGATTTCTTTTAAGATTTGTCTTTCTTCTCTCATAGAGTGGTTAGCTCTTCCTTTGAGAAGGAGAAAATAAAGGCAATGGCTTCAGTTCTCACCCTTCTCAGATTATGTCAATAATAATTGCAGAAGCTATCTAATTACACATAAACCTACCTTGGTTTTTTTTCTACTTTTTTTCTCTTGTACAGGCATTTTCTGAGCTTGTCATTATCAGAGAAGAAATAGCTTGGTTTCAAAACATTTTTATGAATTAAAAAAAATCTGAAAATGCACATATATATCTGGTACAGCATTTGCTTAATATTGAAAGAGCTGTTCTCAAGAACTTGCCAAGGAAGGTTTAGTCTTTCTAACAGATCCTGCGACCCTCCACTAATGCCCTCTTTCTGAATAATCTTCCTCAACCTGGACTTCCCAGGTCAGGATCTCTTAAGGCAGTTTGTATCTAACTCTTCAAACTCACTGTCCAAACATTCTCCTCTCTTCTGTGGTTACTTTTCTATTTATTTCACTTATTGTGTTTTTAAATTATATTGAGAAGAAAGGGAACTAAATGGAAGGCTTCTTTGGAGTCTTGTGGGACACATGGGAGTTAATCAGGAAGGGAGGTGAAAAGGTTGTTCTTAGCAGAGAGGAAGGCGTGCAAAAGGGCACAGAGGCGAGACACAGCACACGTGCCCTGGGAAAGACAATTGGTTCAGTGCTGTAGGATTGAGGTATGTAGATGATGGAGGTCCTTAAGTACCACAACAAGGGGCCTCTACTTTATCCTCCGATGATGGGACAACTATGGAGAGTTTTAAGCAAGAGAATATCAGGGTCAGATGTGTGATTTTGAAAAACTCAATCTGAAAAATCAATTGGCAACCAATATGAGAGTTGGGTTTGGCAAAATTCAGGCAAAGAGATCATTCGGGAGGCTGTTGAGTAATCCAATGAGACAGTATGAGGGCCTGGACAAAGCAGGTAGATGGAATTGAGAAATATTTAGAATAACAAGTCAACAGGACCAAGTGATTCATTGTTAGTTTCAGGTTTGGGGTGTTAGAGATGGAGGGGAAGAAAAAACGCCTTTTCCTTCTACCCTTTTAGGTTCTTGGCTGGGGCTCTGTAACTAAAGACAGATTAACAAGAGAAAAGCATACAAATTTACATGATATAGGTTTTATATGATCCGGGAGCCTTCAAAAGGAAATGAAGACCTGAAGGAGCATTGCACCTGATTGTTTTTATGCTAGGTTTGATGAAGAGTGGAAAGTTGTGGGGGAAAGTGACAGGATAAACAGATATGAGCCAAGGGTAGTAAACTGGGAGAAACTGAGCAAGTCCTGTGCATTCCGATTCCTCTCAGCATCCCTCCATCTTCAGAGGTAAGGATGCTTCTTTCCTCCTGGCAAAGGGAGGAAACTTCTTATGTGAAGGTCTTATGACCTGCTTCAGGGGAGACGGGAGGTCAGAGAGTCTTTCCTTGCATCTACCATTTCTCAAATTCCTTCAGCTTTAAATATTCAATATGCTAAGGTGCTATATTTTGGGGCAGCATGTCCTGAACCCCGTCAGAGATAAGGAGGGGCCAAGGATAACTCGAGTTTCTAGGCTGAGTAACTGGAAGGCGAATGGTATCGCCAAGTGAAATAGATAGTACAAGAGGCAGAAGGAATTCATTTTCCCCTTGAGGGAAAATATGAAGTCAGTTTAGGACATATCGAGATTGAGGTGCCCAAGAATACCCAGAGATATCCAGCAGGTTGTTGAATATATGAATGTGATGTTAGTTAGAGATATCTCAGCCAGAAATACAGAATTTAGATTATAGATGGTGAAAACTATGTGTAGAAAATCCTGGAAGATTTTGAAATAGTCAAAAGAGATTACTGGGTGAACTTTCTCTGGAATGCTGGGCATTTTTTAAAGGACCCCCTGGGGTCATCTAATTGTAAGGAGCTTGTGCCCTTGTCTTTGACTGAGCTATTTCAAAACTCTGTAGAGATAGAAATTAACTTAGAGAAAACTAACAGTAATGCAAATGTGTATCCTGTCTATAACAATGCAAATGATTCCTGTCCACAGCGACTCAAATTAATTTTGTTGGGTAGAGAATATGTCTCTATAAATCAAATTCTTCTTTGAGCCAGTTTGAATATCCTTACTGGTTCCCTCATTAATGAATGGTTATGTAGAATCTTTGACACATGTTCATTTTATATTTGTATGAGAGCCATAATTTTACCTTTCTGAAACTTTCTTTAACAATTTTAGAGGTTTCACCAACATTCCAATGGATTCACCTGACAAAACCAGGTAAACCATGTGGCTGAAGAATACCTCATGGGCTGCTTGAGCCCGGGCATGTTTTTCTCTTGGTTCCCAGAGTGAACAGTGAATAGCCAAGCAGCAACAGTACAACAATGTTGCTGACTCTCTATTTCTCTAGGTTTCTCTTCTTCTCTTTACTGATTTTGTGTTTTTGTTTTTGTTTCTGACACACCTGTAGCTGATAAGCAATGATTAGAAATTTGGTATTATAATCTGACCATTTGGTGGTCTCTTTAAATGAATTAATAGTTTATAGAGATATATTCTCTCTTGGGTAAGAGACGACAGAGAATCTGGTTGGTTAGTCTTTTTCGTTTGCCTTATTGTCTATTTGTGAGTTCAAATCAATTAAGACTTCTAAGCCCATTGGGAAGGAGAACAGCTTTTTTGATATCTGGTCTAGTAATTTTTTGTGTTTCTCTGTGCACTTTTGACCTGTGGCTGAAGTTGTAGAACCAAAGCTATATGCTCTCTATGTGCCCCTGCATCTGTGTGTCTTCATGGCTGTAATCAAGAAAGGCCTTCAGGGGGCTGGCCCAGTGGCGTAGTTGTGAAGTTTGCGCATTCCACTTCAGCTGCCCAGGATTCACCGGCATGGATCCCAGGCGTGGACCTACGCACTGCTTTCAAGCCACGCTGTGGCAGGCATCCTACATATCAAGTAGAGGAAGATGGGCACAGATGTTAGCCCAGGGCCAGCAAAAAGAGGAGGATTGGCAACGGATGTTAACTCAGGGCTAATCTTTCTCACAAAAAAATAAAAAACAAAAAAAACACGAAAGGCCTTCATCTCTTGTTGTAAGAGTGTGAAATGTTTTACTACTCTTGGAGAGTTTTAATAAATTAGTTTATTACTTCTCTTAAAAGAGCTCTGTTCTGATTGGCTCATGAAGATAAATACATACTTATAGAAATGAAATATTCCTAAAATTTCCAGAAAATAAGGAAATTAAACTTGTAAAACTTTGTGCTGATTTAAAAAAAATCCTTATTACAGAAATTTCTAGTACAGAAAGAATTCAGGTTCAAATGATTAAAGCAAATCTTTGGCAAACGATATTCTTTAAATGTTTGGTGGAAAAAACACAGCTATGTCTTTTCTCACTGTAAAGTAGAATATAAATGTGTATTTTATTTTAGTTGTTTGTTTCCTGACTGAGAGAATAATTAATTTGAACTTCCTAAACTTATACAAGTTTAATTATCAAATAACCTAACATTACTCATTAGGAACATGAAACATGTACATTTGTTCAACAAAACTGAATCATTATTTGACAAATTTTTTATATTAACGGTAATTACATTTCATAGTACATCCACTT